GAGGAGGCTGAGGGGAGAGCTCATCGCTCTGGAGCCACCTGACAGGACCTTGCAGAGAGGTTGGGGCTGGTCTCTCCTCACAGGTAATGAGTGATAGAACAATGGGAACAGCTTCAAACTGCAAGAGAGGAGGGTTACACTGGACATTAGGAGAAATATTTTCACAGTCAGCCCTTGGAGGGGTGGAGTCCCCATCCCTGGAGGTGTTTTAAAGTCGTTGAGATCTGGGGTTGAGAACTATGATTTGGGGTGAGATTGGTAGAGTAGGGTTAGTGGTTGGACTGGATGATCCATGGGGTCTGTTCCAACCTGAATGATTTTGTGATTCTCAGTCTTGCAAGACACTGGCGCTGCTCCCCCTAACGAAGAGCAAGTGCTGGAAGGGAAGGAACCCGGATGGGGCTGGAGCTGGATCCGTGGACAAGCACCAACACCACCTTGCGTCTGTTTGTCCTTCTGGGCTTCGGGAAACGCTTTGTCTCCTAAATGACTTTAACGGCAGCTTAGTACATGAAATTCATCTGGAAGCCGGTCAGGATGTCGGTCGGACATGAACGCACCGCTCCTTGCGGTGGGAGGGGAGGAGACGATCCCAGTTGACCCAAAACCACTTGGGAGAAGGATTTCCTCTTGCACCCTCCCACCGGGAAGGAGCCCTCACATCCCTCGCCCGGTGGCTGTTTCTTTCTTTCTTTTTCCCTTGGGGAGAAAATGTTATTTTTGGTTCGCTGCTCTCGGAGCCCGACCCCTCGCACGTCGTCCGGGCGTCCGCAAGCGAGTAACTCGTCTTCTCTCTCCTTCCCCCAGACACGCCGAGAGCCAGCAGAAGCACATGGCAGAGAAGATGCCGGCGAAATGAACGCGGGAGCAGCGTTCGAGCGAGGCTTCGTTTTGCTTCTGTGTGTGTCCCAGCGCCGACATCCCCGGTGGCGCACGAGAAAAAAAACAGTGTTAGTCATTGACCATGTCTGAAGCTTTATGTCCAGTGATTGGCCTCTGCTTCTTAATTTATTTTAATTTTTTTACTCGTGCCACTAAATATCAGGCATTTTAATAATATTATTACGGGAAAAAAAAAATGTACAGTACTTATAAATCACGGGCGAGAAGAGAGAGGGTAGTTTAACTTTATTTTTGTTTGTTTAGAGATTTTTTCAGTTGAACGATATTTTACCATTGACTACTTTTTTATTCTCCACTGTAGTTTTAAAAATAAAGAAACTGTACTTGACGGTGCTATACAAGTCAAAAAGAAAAAATACATGCCTGCCTCGTAGTGAAGTTGTAGCGTTCAGTAATATGTATATTTTAATCAGTTTTCAACATTTTGTGAATGTTGACTACCTGACATTCATTTTTAGATGTGCTATTAACATTCGGTTGGATTCAGAGAGTTACCTTGAAAGTTTTATGTATAAATATGTAAAATAAAAATTAAAAAAATTGTTTCATATGATACGTCTTTTTGTTGCCTAGTGGTTGACTTTGGTGATGCACCGGTAACGTATTCCTCAAACTCAATGCGCAATTCCTAATTTGTCATCACCAGAAAGAGCCTTTTGTGGTTTTTTTAAGTTGGTCGGTTGTTTTGGTTGGGTTTTTTTGCCAATCACATAAAACTACGACGAGAAGACGGGATTTTTGTAAAGTTATTTATTTGTACTTTCATAATGGATGTATGACATGGACTTAAGAAATTCTTCTAGAATAACATTCATCGGGCCCTAATATTGTAATTATTGTTAGAATCAGCAGGCACGTACCGTAGAGGGATTTTTTTTTTAATATATATATATTTATATTTTATTGTCCAGGATAAATATTTAAATGACTCACCAATGTCAGAAATTAAAAAAAAAAAATCTATGTTAAAAGTCTAAGCAGCATATTAAATGTATTATATATGGGTATCGCTCACCTCTCTGCCTTGGGGCTGGGCTCACCAGGGCTCTGCATGTACCAGAGGAGGGACATGGGGAGACAAATAACTCTGTCTCCATCCCTCATTTATTTGATTTAATTCACATTTGAATTCTTTCATCCTCGGGGGCAAATTCATTTTAACGAAGGGTCTGGCTGATGACTTATTCAGGGTGTTTTCCAGAAAGCGTGAGCCACATGAAAATTTCATCCCTGCCCTGCCTAGAATGTACTTGATAAATTCACTTTTTTTCTTTTTTTAATGCTCCTCGATCTTTGGTGGATTTTTTTCTGAAAGTGCAGGTTCTGGAAGCACCAGCCCTCGATGGGATTTGATGGGGCTGAGGAACAGGGGTTTGGATTCACTTCGGGTTGATTTTCCTTCCCTGGGAGTTGTTCCAGGGGGTTTCCAGCAGACAACCCCTGTCCCACAGCCCTCAGGGGGGACTGTGTCCCATGTTCCTGCCCGACAGTGTCCCCAGGCAATTTTTTTTCCTGCAGAAAAAAAAAAAAACCCCCCCCAAAGCCATCTTGGGAAAAAAAAAAAACCACCACAAAAGCATCTTTGGCTGGATGATTTTAGGATTAGGGTGGAGAACCCTCGCCTGCAGACAGTGTAAACTCTTGTTTTGCTTTTTTTAATTTTTTTTTTTTTGAAATCTATGCAGAAAAAGAAGTTCTCTGTATCGGGGGTTTTAGTTTCCCTGTTGGCTCGATGCTGGGGAGGGGAAGGACGCGCTGGGATTTCTATTTCTGCCCCGACAACGCCGCGTCCTGCGTTCGCTGCGCTCGCAGAATCGTCCCTGCGGGGCGCGGAGCTGTCGGGGTAGCGGTTAAAAGCCTCAAATGACAAAAAGTTTGCTCTCAGCTTTAAAAGAAAGGGGGAAAAAACCCAAATAAATAAAGGAAGAAAGCCCCCGAGGAACCCCGGATGTCCCCGGCATCGCTCCCCGCCAGGGTCCAGCTCGCAGGGCACCGGCGTGAGGCAGCCTGGAGTTTTGTTCCCTTGCTAAGTGCCTTTAACTTGCTGAAGAGAACTAGTTATTCCGGTCACCTACCACTGTTTTTTTTATTTTTTTTCTCCCTTCCCATCCTTAGGGGATTGTTGAGTTGGTTTTGTTGTTGGTTGGGGTTTTTTTTAAGAAAAAAGCGTGTTTCTGGGTAACTGCATCTCCTTGGCTCTGTGTCCCGCCTTCCGAGGTGTCGTGCTGGTGTGTATGATGGCAACGCTGTGCAATTAACGGATTAAATGACATTTTTAAAAGAGAGAGGCCTTGCGTGGTTACTGAGCTCACGGGCGATCTGTATTTTGTCACCTGGTGCTTTCTGGGTACCCGTCCCTCTTTGCTGTGTCCTCCGGGCTGGGATTTTGGTTGCTCAGCCTGCGGCAGGGGGCTGCAGCGAATTCCTGGTACCCATGGGGAATTTCTGCTCCTCGCAGCAGAGGGTTCTTTGGGAGCACCATCCTTGGGAGATTTGGGGGGATTGTTTTGTCTTTTCTTTGTATTTTCTCTCTTTTCTTTTCTTTTCTTTTCTTTTCTTTTTTCTTTTCTTTTCTTTTCTTTTCTTTTCTTTTCTTTTCTTTTCTTTTCTTTTCTTTTTTTTTCTTTTCTTTTTTTTTCTTTTCTTTTTTCTTTTCTTTTCTTTTCTTTT